ATCAAAAGACCACAATGTGTCAATAAACTGTGGAGAAAAAAAAAAGACCATTTGCGTTAAATGACATTCACGTTTTTATTGGCGAAGCATCAGTTTGTTTCAGATGAAAGACTTCCGAAGCCAAACTGTGAGCAACACAAGTGACAGAAATACAAAGTACTCATTGTGAACAAATTTAAACAATGCCGGGGTGGCCGGTGGACAAGTGGTTAGCGCGTCGGCCTCACAGTGCAGAGGTGCAGCGTTCGATTCCGGCTCTGGCCTTCTTGTGTGGAGGTTGCATGTTCTCCACAGGCCTGCGTGGGTTTTCTCCGGGTACTCCGGTTTCATCCCACATTCCGAAAACACGCGTGGCAACACTCATAAATCATCCCCAGGTGTGAGTATGAGCGTGGATGGTTGTTCGTCTCTGTCTGCACTGCGATTGGCTGACAACCAGTTCGGGGTGCGCCCCGCCTCCTGCCCGATAGGCTGGGATAGGCTCCAGCACGCCACGCGACTCTTGTGAGGAGAAGCGGATCAGAAAATGGCTACTTTGAAAACAGTGCAGGACATGTTCATTGCTTCACTGATTGTGAAATCCTCCAATATGTCGTCGTCGGTGCGGATGCAACTGATCGTAATCTACACCCTGCCCTCCCTCCGCGAGTAGCGTAGCGGAAGGGGAACATCTCCTCCTTCTCCTGGAGGAAGCCGGACAGGGGCAAGAGAAATTTGGGTCATTGGTGACAACATAATGATGCTCTAAGACACCAGAACAGGCTCCGCTTCGGCACAGAACAAATCATAAACGCAACACCCCTTCACACGCGGGAGCAAATGACTTCTCGACACCTGAGGCCTAGCGCGCCATATAAAGCGGCACAGGCGCCGAAAAACACAAGACATTCTGCAACGAGCACTGACGCCCCCGACAAAGATTGAGCGAAGCAAAAGGGGCATCAATCAAGGGATTAGGGGACTGAGTTCTACAGATTTCCATTACTGGTGACCTAATCGGTTTCTTAGGATGTGTTCTTAATGGCCATTGGAATGGAGAGCAAGTGTATCGAGTGTGTGCGTGCGTGCGTGTGTGTGTGTGTGTGTGTGTGTGTGTGTGTGTGTGTGTGTGTGTGTGTGTGTGTGTGTATATGTATGCGCGAGAGAGAGAGAGAGAGAGAGAGAGAGAGAGAGAGGTCATCCATCACCGAAGGACCTCTGAGGAGGTGAAGGAGCAGAAGGGAAGGTTAATGTCAGCTGGGAGACGACTGAAGCTCGCATCCATTCGTATCCAAATCTCCCGTGGCAGGGCTGAGCAATTTAGCCGCTTCTTTGCGCCGCTCTTGTTGCCGATCCAGCAAACCAAGCGAGCACACTCCGTCTCTCGCCCTCACCGTCGGACGGTATAAAGGCATTGTAGAACAAGCGGACCCCAACGGGATTTATTTGTAAGAGTAAGGGATCGCCGGTTGGAATGCGAGTGTGATACGGGAGGTTTAGTGATCATTTGCAAATGGATTAGATCGATTCTGGTGGTACCGCGTGGTCAAATTAAAACTCGCATTTTTCACTTCTATCTTGGCACCGAGCTCTTGTTCTTAGCAAGGTCGTCCAGTCCGTGTGGGAACGGGTACAGAGACACACGACGCACCCATAAATTAGGAAAGAATGAAGACGTTGACAATGTCGCCTTTCTGGAAATCGTGAAAATGTTTATTTTTCCTTGAATGCACCAACAAAAACAAAGGCCCAAATTTGTAGATGCATTCTTTACATCTTTTATTTGGCTACCCATTTTCTCCGATTTTGAAGTTGCATGTTTCCTTGTTGTGATGTTATTTGAACTCGAAGGCATCAGACATTGTACAGACATTGTACATAGACCAGAAGGCCACGGCTGCTACAACCGGATCCTGTGAACATGCAAAGTGAGAAATGAGCGATGTGAGAGCAGAGGGGCTTCACACGGAGCTATTACCAGTCCTGATTTTGCATTCTGGTCCGTTGCAACTCTGTAGCGACAGTTTCAAAATGTCTGTTTCCCCCAACAGCTTCAGCCTTTGGCTGAGCAATTATCTTTTGCAAATCGGTGCTGTGGAAACCTGATTTGCATCATACGTGCCTTTGTGCTGTTACACATTTTACATCATATCTTTAATTGTTGCCTTTCTCTTTTTTGACTGAGGTTGTACTTTACAAGGATGCCATAAAACAAAGGTTCCAGAAACGTAGACCACCTAAACTCTGGCATGTGGGTGCTCAAGCAGTGCCTTCAAGCTTCCATTCAACCTTTACGTTGCTGTTAAAGGTGGAAAAACCAGAGTGGGTTTTGCAGTCACACTGCCACCTTCCACATACGGCCCATTGCAGTTAATCCGACAAGTTTTAGCTCTCTTACCTTCTAACTGTGAAAGGAGTTTATCCTCCTATTCAAAGTGGATAAACAGCACTGACAGTAAAAAAAAAAAGGAAGTAAGACGACAGACGGGATTTGTGATCTGTGTTCTAATCTGTGTCCAATGTGATGCAGTTGGCATGAAGCGTTCCAACTATGTACAGGTTATGTACAAGGTACCGCATATTTACGGGCACAAACATGAATAAATGACAGTTTTTTAATTTAGAAATGGACACCCATTTTAGCATGAGGACGCACGTCTTTATTTCACAGGGCCGTCTCCATAGAATGTATTCGTTGCTTTTATTGAACACGATCTTTACGTAAATAAACATCAGATCTATGAAGCAGCGCACAGCCAATTTTCATCCAATTTTCCAGAGGAGAAATAAGCACATGCTCACTATTCATCTCTGTGCTCCCTTGTGGATCTGCGAACACCTACACCGTCACCGAGCCAGATAGAAATGTGCTGCATACTGTTTTATTCGTCAGCCCAGGGCAATAGGTGCTCCCGATTATACGCCGAAACACATCCGCATACCACTTAACCTCAAACGGATTCATTGAGGGGCAACCAGACAATCCTATGGTGTGTGTGTCGTCTGTAATTGTCTTATGACAAAAATATTATTCAATGACGGTGGAGCGTAAAAAAAGTCAATTTGCATCAATGAATAGTTTGTCATTTTGTGAACAGATGTTTGAAATCATGTCATGTGAGTGGAGTTGTTTACAGCACTGTGCAAACTTGGAGTCAAAGGCTACCACACGGTACACCATTGGAAAAATGACTGAATCAAGCTATTCCAGGAGGAACATCTATAACTGGATCATCACATCTTATTAGGGCTGCAGCTAGAGAATGTGTTGGTATTCCCATACCCTACTGAAAATTCAAATCGAATCATCGGGTATCTGGATAAAAAAAAAAAATCTATATATTTCGATTTTTTTACTTAAATTTGAACTGTGCATAGCAGTGCACTATTTTCCTCTCTCGAAACATGAATAAGAATTTATATTAATCTCTCCGCATACATTTGGGTCAGTAAAACGAAGTGACGTCGGAAACAGCAGCGATTTTGGCTGCTAAAACAACACACTTGAGTAAGCCTAGTTTATTCAAAAGTGATCGGTAGGAACGGCAACTGTCAGCACCCAAGTGTGCACAGTCGTTTAGGTCTATTAACTTGAGCGCTGACAGCCATGCTTGCGCGGCTACCGCCGTACAACACAGTGCTGGCGTAATTGGGTGTTTTTTAGCGTCCTTAATTAGCGATTGAACGTTACTTCAAGAGGACGTCGTATTGCTGCCGTCGGAAGCAACAGTTTGTGATGGCAATAAACGACGCCCCGACTCAGTTTGGGGAAACAAGTTAAGTCAGCCGTTACACCACGAAACGCTGCCTGGAGCAACTTCAAAATAAAAGCTTAAACTTGGGTTGATGTGGGTATATTATTTGATTGGGGAAGGTTTATTTTGAAGTTAGCCTTCTTACCCTTCATATTCATGCCAACTGCATAAAAAATGATTTCACCTGTTAAAACTGATTCTGTGTTTACAAGACAGTAAACCTAGGGCGTCATAGTATCTATTACCAGATTATGGTGACCTATTGTTAGAGAACACCAACAATTCAACTAATGGAATAAAACGTTAAAAATTCAATCTGAAAATTAAATTGAAAAAGAAATTGTCGGGGATTTTTTTTAATATTCTAAAGATGACGACTCAAAATTTATGCGTGAACCAAAAAAGAGTGAGAGCTGCGTGGAGGTCGTTTCAATGTGAAAAGCAGGACACCACACCACTCAGACCACGTCAAATTTCACTCACCCAGTTTTTGAAGGGAACCTGACACTGTGGTCGGCCCAACCTTTCGGTCAGTGTGACAGGAGAAAGGCTGCACTGCTCCAATTATGTGACGGCTTGACGGTCAGCTAACGTGATTACTGGATGGGTGAAGAATGACAGTTTAGCTGTCATAAGATGGTGAAACAGCCACTGAAACGTGAAAAGTCAAAGTCCATTACAACATCCCTCGAAACCTTGTTGCGTTTATGATTTAAGACATATTACGACGGTTTAAGTCGTAAAGTGTACTTAAAATACACTAAATCAATGGGACAATTTGCATCACACTAATTTGCTGTATGTTGTAAAGAATGTATACTGATAGTAAACGTAAAAATCGTCATTTTACCTACAGCTGGCAAATTAGTGCTCTCAAAAGGTGCATCTTTCAAAGTACATTTGAGTCAAAAAATTCTCTGTAGTCGAGCCCAATTCTCGTGTTATGCCTTCAGGCACCTGTTCGCGTGGATTAAAACTGCTTAAATTACCTTTGATTAAAGCTTGAATACCATTCTCCGATCGGGCATACGATTACAGCATTTCAATATTGGCCCGTCGAATATTCAGGGTCGTTTGAAAATTCCAATAGGATTTCATACACAACCTCAACCTGAATTTTAGTCCGGCAGAAGACACACCAGGTGCTGACCCTTCATGATGACTGGTGTTTTACTGGCACCTTGTGGTCAATCATATAACTACAACAAAAGTACATTTCTAGCAGGTAACTGGGCTGAGGTTATTGAAGACAAAAACAAGCCGGCAGTTTGTCCAAATTTTTATTCACAGACTACAAAAGCAGTAATATTTCCAGCTGTGGTGCGTGAAGGAGCAGACTTCACTTTTTGATGCAATGGTGCTAGCACAAGGGGAAGGATGAATTAGGTCTTTGTTCTCTTGACTTCTTTCTTTGCCCACCTTCTGCCCTGCGCCCAGAGCTTCACGACCTCGAATAAAAGGGAGAAATTGTAGACAAGATGAGAGGCAGTGTCCGATAAGAGCAATACTGGATTACGATTCAATTGAGAGAGGGTATGATGCAATCAGTTCTTGTCATTGTACATGCATTTGAATGCGGCATCACCATTTCAAATTGCTTGATCATTTGAGGGGAATGCTAGCATAAAAAAATAAAATAAAAAAAAAAGATGTGACCGTACTTCCGAAAAAGTCCTGCACTGACAAATGCTCTACTGTCAGGTTCGGAAGTGACTCAGATGGCCCCTGTGCACAGTTTGTGTCACCACCATTCAGCAGGATGGGTTCAACTGTGCCACTGCAATCAGTGACCCAACTCCAAGTGCAACTCCTCATCGTCACATCCTAGTAGTAAAATATTTGTCAGGACTCACTCTAAGACACCTTAAATCAATCTGGATTTGTTCATTTTTGAAATGTGTCCGACATTTTTATTTGTCAATGTCACTACATTGAAAAGGAACCTAATGATATAAACCTCACAGGCCAAGTTGTCCACCAGGCTGATATTCTTCCTCTGATGAATCAAAACACAGGAATGTGCCACCTCCCAGCTCTGTTACGACACCCCACTAAAAAGAAAGGCACACAAAATAGACATGCATGCTTGTTGTCATCTGCAGTTAATAAAGGCCACGGTTCAAAATAACAGCATAATTAGTATTGATTGTAGATCTACAATGAATAATTAAAAACTGATTTTACAGACTGGGGGAATATAGCTCAAGAATGGGTGGTTTGAGTCAGATGGCCCCTGTGCACAGCGCATGTCATCAGGTTGAATCAGATTGGAGTGTTGATGCCACTGCAACACACCCCAAATGATTTAAGTGCAACTCATCACTCTCAAATCCACACCAGGGACTTTAGTTAATTTCTTCTCATATTTCAGGAAAAGAAGCATGCATGCAAATAAGAAAAGCTGAACTAGCTCTTTACACTGTAAAAAAAAAAAGACTCCACATTCCTTTTGCGCCTATTTTTTTTAGTCTTGATCCTTGAGGAAAACTTACCGTGGAAAACAAACCTCAAGATCTTCATTAAATTGCTGTCGGCTTCCATGTGGCGCCCGACTTCAGATTGTAGAACCCAAACCTGAAAGGGAAAAATTAACGATCGGTCAGGGGAAATTTTGCCGATGGAAATATTGACTTGAGAGCAACTGTTATAAAGTTACTTCCAGAACGGATGCACCCACGTGTAAACCACGTGGCTGTTTTTCACCGTGCTGTTGCAAACCACTAAACTACTACAGTACAATACTAGGCGAACTAGTAGAGATTCATGTACGTCAATCGTTGTAAAAAGTGACTAATCACTATCACAGACCCATGTCAGTATGCAACTGGAACAAAGAACCTCTTTGTTTTACAGTCGCTTGTTGATTTGGAAATAAAACAACAAGAGACAAGCATGGTTTAAAGCCGTGCATTAAGACGCTTCCAACGAAAGCCGACGGAAAAATAAAAGAAGCGGCTTGGTTGTACAATGAGTCATCACAACATAGTTAAGACTCGTCCGTGTTGCCTAGATCTAAATCTAAATCTAAATCTCATTCGGGACACTCAAACAAATGAACTAGCTTGGGGCCGAGCCTAGCATGTTATTCTCATTCGTTGCGTTCGCCAAGCCGTAGAAGTCCGTAACTAAATGAACGTGTCTTTCTCATCGTATTAGTTGAAAACGCAATTCGGCCTGGAATACCGTCCGAGAAAAACTTACCCAAACACAAGATCGTTAGAAATGGTTGGCTCTCAAGTTTGTGACCTCAACGAAAGCGTTGTTTCCGCCTTACTTCGAACGCCACTTAACGCTGAACTGTTATCCGATAGGCTCAAAGAGTCGTGGCGACGTTTATTGGCCACCTTTGCTCACGTGACTCTAGAGTTACGACTGATTGGTCAAATCACGATGCGATGAGTCTTGAAACCAACCGATGGCCAAACTCACAAAACAACGTTCTCATCTACATATTCAAAGTTGAAAAAGATGAGTCAGACAAGAGGTTCATTGAAATGCAGTTTTATATTAAAAGATAGCAAAGGGATAACTCACTATATCACACAACACAGCTTGTTAGTACTGCCATGGAAATACATATACAGTCTGCTCATATTTACACATCAAATGACAACCAAACAAATCATAAATACCTCTTATTGTTAACTTTACAACAACTATATGAGACCAGTATTTCATAACATAAAGTGGGGCTATTAAATAAATGGCAAAATCCCTATCATTTACAAGGTATGGAAACAGTGGTTAAAATAATCCAGCAAAAATTAAACAAAACGTTCTTCTCCAGTGAGTTGAATTAATGCAAGTCTAATTACAGTCACAAAATCCCTTTGTACAAAAGACTATACAGCTCAATCAAAACAGTATCTTCAAATGAAATGTAATATATCCGAAAAATACAATTTGTACAGGTTTAGCATTCCTGCAGCGGAGTTGGAGGGACTGTGAGCTGGGATAACGATGATGGGTCGGGTCACTATGATACTCTGCAGGCCGACTGTCAACCAAGTGTCAGAGACTCATTCTGTAGCTGCCAAGACCCTCTTCCATTGGCTTCAGTGCTTTGTCTAGCAGCAAAACAGCAAGTTGCTGAGCTCTTAGCAGATTCTTCAAAATACATTGTTCTATAAACATGGTTGTCTGAGTAGCAGTATAGTCGTGTCAACAGCACAAGGAGGGGGAAACACATTCTAAAAGGTAAAGCGATGCACGATAGCTGTAGGTTAAATGTTTTAAAGTGATATGTTGCTAAACTACGACCCCCCCACTGCCTGATGCGGTCCATCTTGCACAGTGTTTCATTACGCTACACTACTGTTGCAGATACTGCAAGTGCACTTTTGCATCACAGATTTGGAGTTGACCCAAAAAATAAAATAAAATGACACTCCAGATAATAGTGTTTGGCAAAGCAGAGATTTCGTGATTTATGCATTAATATGTTTTTGTCTCAAAAGAGAACTTAAGAGGAAATTGCACAGGTTGTAAGATATGCTAATATTAATCTATTCAACATAGCGTTTCCAAAACGTGTTCAGTTAAAGTCTGATAGTTTTCTGTTTTTTTTTCATGCCCAAAAGAACTTGGAATATACTGTGTGTAGATATATATATATATATATATTGTAGCAGCCTTAGAATTTTTTTTAAAAGTAACAATTTGAGGTTTTCTACAGCGATGCACTAAAAGACGTCGTTACACTGAAAGCACTTTTATGCTTAAAAACAGTAATTGGCAGAGTCGAGATATTTTGTAACATCGTTAAAACCAAGAAGCAATACATTACAATCATAAGTGCTGTATATATACTTTAAAATTACAGGGACCAAGGACCAGTAATTGCTCTGATAAAATTACATTTTGTCCGCATCTATGGCAGACTTGCTAGCTATGACCAAGTTAAGGACCACACACAAAGAATGAACTGCCGGATAATATTTCTTCTTTGTGTCATCTACATTCTGCCTTCATGGTTTATGAATCTGTATGTGTACATTTCCCTTAATTTGCCACACATATGGTATATATTTATTTAAAAGCACAACGACCCGCATGGTCACCGCGGACGCATGTGACCATATTTCGTCTGCTATGGTGGAATCAATCGTTTCATCCAACGAGTTAAATATCACGCACAGGAACATTTTAGGGCTTCTTATACAGATGGATTGATCACAAAATATCTGGCGCTTGGGCTGTTACATCGCTCCAACTTCCTTAGTCCAAGGATGAGCAATGGTTAAATCACTGAAGATGACCTTTTTAGGGCAGCATTTGCGGAAATGTAATCGTGCAATCAACTGAAAAGTTCCCAGCTCAATCCTTGCTTGAAACTGCTAGGCTTGCTCAAGAAAATGTTAACCGCAGAGCGTTTCAACAGCGGTGAAAAGAAAGAAATGTCAAATCGCACTACTGATTTGTAGATGCAAGAAGGAGGCATGGAGACGTGGTCAAGCCCCGCCCTTTGGCACTGTCATAAATACAACAACTTGAAAACCTGCTGCACAAAGCTCAACACAACACCCACTGTTCTGTGAAAATCTGAAAGCCCACTCAGAAGTACAAAAATCATTAATAAATAGAGTTCATAAAGAGATGAGTGGTTTAAGGGTACCACAGTTAAGAGTCCGGGGAGGATGTTGGTTCCGTTGAATCCGAGGAGGAAAAAAAAATGGTGATGTTGTACACAGAGAGATATTTGTCGTCGCAATGAGAGTCTGCATCCTTGTGTGTTTGCATCTCTGGTCCTTTGCTTTTTTTTTTTCAGATTCCAGCATACTAATTAGTTTACCATTTTGCCTGTAGGCATTTTAGCACAGTACTATGGGGGCCTGTGTTTGTATGCGTGTACAAGTAGGACGGAGCCCCAGTTTCAGAGAAACCGCTCAGTTGGGAACTTGTTTTGTTTGATTTAGACTCTAAATTTAAAATCTGCACTGGTACCTCGAATCGTCCGTCTGGAGCAGCTGAAAACACATCCAGACGGATTTGCATGTTTTTGCGATGGAGGTTGCGTGAAAGCACGCAGGCCGCCCCCTCAAACTTCACTCTCAGTGGAGGGCTTGCGCATGGACATCCAGCCAGTGTCGGGCAGGCAATGCTGGGCATGACGCTGAGGGGTGATGGCTGAAGGCGTTAAGGTGCTTATGGAGGAGCATTCCGACGCCTCCTCCTGAAGGAGTTGCTCCGTCTCGCCGTCATCCAGCGAAGCGCTGCTCGCCTGGAGCGAAACGGTGTCCGTGCGCATGCAGGTGTGCAGGCCCCCCCGTGACGGCTTGACTTGTTTGAGATCATCCCAGTAAAGCTCCTCGGTGGACAGAAGGCAAACGCCCTCCACAATACGGATCTTCTCCTTCGTGTACCCTCCATCCACACCACCCTGGACATGAAAAGAAACAGTTAGTCAGAGACGGTCTGTCTGTATGCGAGCGGTCTGAAGGGCGGATCCAGATCCGGACATGCTCACACTGTTCAACACCTCCGACATTTTTCGATGATCTAGCTTTGTTTTCAATCACAGTTTACTGTACGTTCAGGATGGAGGGCAACAAGCAATTATTCGTTCAAAGCCAAACCACTCGCACGCAATTCAGATCAATGTTAAGAGACTCAGCGACCACATTTCCTTAACACTTTTCATGCACCGATAATGATAACCTGTACCCTGATAACATGAGAAGCTGTCCACTGGAAGTGACCGCCGTTCCCCGAAAGGGTTAACAGACCTCGGTGGAAGTTTTTCTGTCTAATTTTGCCGTTTTCTTTTTTTACCCTATTAAAAGAACTCAACATCAGTGCGTGGGGTTCTTCACACATGCTAATTGATTCTCAGGAAAGAAGAAGAGTAAATGAATCCAAAGCCTCAAACAATTGGAAGCCAATGTTCAAGGATGATTGTCCTCCTGTCCTTCAAGATGTCACCTTGAGATAGGACAGAAGGAAAATCTTTCGAACACAATAGAAATTAACACACGTACAGAAATAGATGACGAAGTCAGTGGGTGTTTTGGGGGGCCCGATAGTAAATATTATTCAGAATGGATGTGAACTAGATACGTTATCCAAGAGACCAAATGGATCTCTGGAATTTGTCACTCCTGCTTCCGGCAGGATTAATTTGCATTAATACAGACTTGATAATAAACTACTTGGCCTCAGCAAAAGTTTGGGATAAGATTGTACAGCCGGCTCAAAAAACTTTGTTAGTCACTCTCACTCTACCAAACATCTAAAAGAAATCTAGATAAGCATGCCCTCAAAAAGCTTTGACACAGCAGTCTGGTTGTCTACAATCGAGTAGAAAAGAAGGAAAACAAGTGGATGCGGTGTAACTACCTCTCCACATTAGGACTCAAAAGATAAAGGGGGAGAGGGAGTTGTAGGGATGAGAGAGCTGCAGGGAGCAAAAGAGAGGCAGGAAAAGATGAGTGTGCCGGTGTGGGGAGCCAGCGTTTCGAGATTTTATTTTGCTATTAAAACTGATCTCGGTGATCAAGAATCTAACAGTTCAAACCTCAAGTCCACTCGGCAAAATCTTTTAAAATATTCGCTTAAGTACCTCTTTCTTATATCGGAGTTGATTATATATTGGAGGCTTCTGCGAGGCCTCAATCTTGACTTCTTGCGTGGAAGTCCGGTATGAAGGGTTGCTGTAGGTCAGGTTGCTAACGCCTGGGTCGGCGAACTTTGACTTTTTGTGTCTGTTGGGGAAACAGAGATACAACATGCAGAACTTGATGGAAGTTGTGTATTAAATATGATACAAATATTACTGTCAGTACAGAATGTAAAAGTGATGTCCAATGAGGGACTCACCGGTAAATAATAAAAGCAACGATGAGAATCAGAATAGCCAGTATGGTCAAAACGCCTCCAATCACATAGCTGATATGAAGTCCTTCCCCTGTAACATCGTGTACATGTTAACTGGTCACATTGTGCATGCTAGACTTGTCCACAAAAAAACAAAAACAAAAAACAAATCCTGAATACCCACCGTGGGGAGCAGTGACCACATTACTCTGTAGGCACCCTTCGACATTGAGGTTCTTGTCAGTGCAGCTGTGAACAAAATTATGAATACAACTTGAGAAAGCAAAAGGAGCATTTTGTGTCTTTATAATCCCTTGTGACCAATGTTCCCTCCACTTTGACCTCTCATAAATAATGGAAAAAAATGCCCTTGTCACCTGATT